TGCTTGTTTTTGCATTTTAGGCTTCCAACTGGTGCCCAGGAAAAAACCTCCCGAGGTTAACTAGGCAAAGGAGGGGAGAGCCTCCCGGAGCGCTCTATTCTTTTTCTTTCCCATTATACAATTTCTCAGTTAATATCTTAAAAAACATTTAATCTGGAAAGTGCATCCATTTTAAGGATAATACATGTCCAAATGCCCAAACCAGATATATGTTTTCAGGAAATATGATACCATTTTTGCTTGGAAAGCAGGGGTAATATTTTCAAAGGTAACTCTGATACTCAGGATCTTAAGCCTGATTGATACGAAGCCACTTGTGGAAAAGGGATTTTGGACTCACTCCAAACTTGTATCCAAAAACATAAAACCCATCCAATAGAGTTTTTCCCTTATTTTTGAATTAAAAAAACCTGAAAAAGTATACAATGTGTATCAACTCTTTCATTTAATAAAAGGAAAACTCTTGGAGGGATGTGAAACTAAGACTCCAAGTGGCAAGCAAAATTCTGCTTAGCAAGAGACAGCAAGGTACCATCTCCACGAGCTGCCAATGTTAGAATGATCTCAGTGCAAAAAAGCAGAAGGAGCAAAATTACTCTATTCAGAATTTTGCTTATTTCTACCTCCAATAGAGACAATTATGTATAAATTACACATTAAACAAGCAAGTAAGAGTGTCCAAGCCAGACAGTTGATAAGATTCTGGAATAAATGAACCTTAGTTATATTTTTTCCTACTTAGGCAAAAGTAATTTTGAGCCAAACCTGCCAAAGCCAGAGAGCTCATCTAAATTCCCTCTTTGGAATACTGTTATTTCCATCCACGCAACTTCAGTGAAGCAGACACTTCTACTTCCCCAGCAGGATGATCTTCCTAGACTTACACCCAAGAAGACTGCTATTTCAGCTACTGGTACATTAAAGCACAACTTATTTTACCTTTTATATGACAATAACCTAAATAAACCCTTCCACGCTGAGATAAGCTAGTAAGATATGAGGTAGTAACGTTGACACGAGTCCAAAAACCAAAGCAAGTCTTCCACCTTCCCATTCCAAAACTTCAAGTTACTTTCAGATGAATCACAGACACGGTAAAATCTTCTGGATTTATGATAAGGCTGTCAGACACCTTGCACAGATGGTACATATTTGAGCATGAAGTATCTCTGCACTTTATGAGCAATATTACCCAAATTTAAACCACAACGTTATTTCCATTATAGCCCAAGCTTAAAATCCGCATCTAATTGCCTACTTAGACTCTTGTGAAATCCTAAAAGCGAGCAGCCGGCATGATCAAGACAGATACTTGTTTACCATAGATGGGAAGTGTCAATGCTTCTGCACCTAAGATCCTTGTAAATGACAATTAAACTGTAGCCCAGTATAAGATTCCAGAATGTCCTCTATTTAAAAACAGGTTCCATAAGTAATTTCACAGATATTTGAAACAGAGATGAAGTAACATTAACAAAGAAAATATCCAGAGCCTCCTGAAAACAGAGCAACCTAGCCTTAGCAGACTGATGGCTAGTTTCCACAGGTTTCTGTTCTTTGCAATGATTTTTAATTGCAAAACATATTTTCTCTGCAAAGGTTGCAATCCGTACCCCACATACCCCTTATCCCCGTGGAAGAAGAGATACACTGCAAGTTAAGTCAAGAGGAGAATAATTAAAAAGGAGCAGAGATGGGCAACAGTGTAGCTGAATGGATGGGTCAGGAAATCCCAGAGAAGATGCACCAGTTTTAAAACACCTAGAATAATTTTTCATAGAATTCTGATTAGCTTTATATAACCACTGGAGGGTAACTTTCCCTTGCAGCACTTTAATCTGTTTCTAACTTCACTGGTACAGCTCCTGGGGGTTAGAGATAGAATTTGTGTCCTAGCAGAGAGAAAAAAAGAGGTATCATGGTACAGTCCATTACAATTGAAAGTGCTAGAAGTATTAATGGGTAGAGAAAGAGAGAGGCATTGCATAAATATTTCTGTTCTATATTTGGCAAGAAGCTCATTGATAATTTTTATCACATGAGGACAAAGAGGAACTCATTGTACGGGAAGTTACATAACAGCATCCGAGATGAATATTTTTTAAAAATCTGCAGACTCTGGTAATCTGCCCTAAGAGCCCTCAAAGAGTTGACCGAGGAGATCTTCCCTTCCTTGATGTTCATTTTTATTAACATTTTTAATGGGGAAGGTTCCTGAAGCTGTGCCAATGTTAAAACAGAATAAGCAGGATGACACAACGAACTAGATACTAATTAATCTGGTATGAATGCTGGGGGGAATAATAAGAAGAATACACAGGATTAAATAGAGACATTAGACAATTAGAATACTAAATTGGTGATTATATGTACAGTAGATCTTTAAAAAAACACCAAAACAAACAACACCTAACATTTTTTTCCTCATCAGAGGAAACCGAAAAGGTAAGATGGGCTTACATTCTTATGCTACATATATTCTCAGTATAGATGTGATTCAGGGCATTTGGGCTTTCAGGTTAAAACTATTCATCTAATCTATAAAAAAAACAATGATAGAAGAACAAGTCTCGAAGTTTCTAGACCCTGTTATCAAACTAGTACCATTGTGTTTCCTACCAAGAAGACGAAATTCAGACCACAGATTTTTTAATTCAAAAGATTACCCAATGACATCCTGAATTCTTAGCTTTTATTGTCAAGTATAAACCGATTAAACAAATCCACCTCTAGAAGGCTTTTTAACACATCTAAACAAAAACTTCCCAAGTGTGCAATTTCCTACAGAGATGACCCTTGCTTAACCCTCAGGACAGGCAGAAACAGCTGTAGGACTTCCATGAGCCCTACAAAACGTTGTTCTAACACCAGCACTTGCCGTGTCACAGACCTCTAAAGAGCTTCTCCGCAGCAGGACTTCCCACAGGGACACGGTACCTACTTCTATGGTTACAAAGGACTGAGATGTCAGACGCTTTATTTTTGGGATATAATAATCAGGTTTGCGTCATCTGTTTCTGATCATTTTCACAACTCCGCTGGGGTTCTGTGCACCGAGTTTCTTCTCAATCACACCTTGCTTTTCAGAAGAGGAGCGTAACCATGTCCCAGTGACCTATTTCTTGATATGCAAAACAAGCTTCCCACAGTATCAGTGAACTCCAGATGCCTGACAGTGTAGTAAAATGTTTACTGGCTTTCTTTGAGAGTGCTCTGCAATACTCAAGTGCAGCCCCAAACGCAAATAAATGTGCCAACATCTCCATCACACAGACAGACACCCAGCTATCACCACCCACCATGTTTTCCATAGCATCCGTACTCCTGATGTCAAATATTCCCGCTTAACCCTTACGTTTTCTGCCTTTTGTCCCTGACCTACATTCAGTTGTAAATACTGCTAATCACTTCTATGAGAAACAGGCTGTCACTGCTCTGCCTGCTGCAGGTGACACAACTCCTGGTTACACAGAGTCCTATCTTGTGAGGAGTGGGTCAGCACGGTGGTGTTCCCAGTAAGCCCTGGCAACTGGAAAGCCTCTGGAGGCTACAGACATACGTCACAGTTCACAGTAGACTAAAGACCGCTTTCAGTTGTACTTGAAGACTGTACAAAGTCTAGGCTTGGTACTGAGTTTAAAATCTGCTTTGATACCGGGTGCAGGTCTGGGTCCATGGAGCTGATCCGTGATTTTCAAGGGGGTATTGGTAATTATTCATTTTGTCAGAGCTGTTACGTACAGTTTATCGAGAAGTGCTCAGAGATAGCACCATGTTGCTCGTGTGAGTTCCAGAGTTTGGTGGCTCTAAGTGGTTTTAATTACATCTAAACAATTCAAAACAAGATAAACCATTAACTGAGGTCTCATTAAAGAAAGAACCAAGCACATTCTTTCAAGAACAGGACTTGGAGGTTTTGCCCTGCTTCCCATCAAGTAAAAATCCAGTTTTTCTAAGAGCTTCTAGGAAGTGATTGCTTCTTCCTTGAGCTACCTTTACGTAAGTCTTGACTTACTCAACATTCAAGTTGATCTAAGGCAGGAAACAGTCAGATGTGTCCATGAAATAACTGCTGGAAAACTGAAAGTGTCATGGCTACAATAATCAATGACTAATTAGACGTTTGCAAACATAAAATAGATTCAGTACTAAACCACACAGACAGAGAGCAAAATTAGCATTGACAGAGATACTAGACTACTTTTACAAATAGCTGATCAATGAGTAATGCAGATTCAGTGTGGCAATGCCTCAGCGTGCTACACCGGTCTTTGTAAATCAGAAACAACGCTTCTGTCACAATCCACAGTGATTTTCAGCGCGGCATTCTTGACGTTTTACAGCAAAAGCAGTAGTGCAGAAAACTACACATCATGCTCAGGAGGAAGCAAAACCAGTAACTCAGTTTCAGCATGCTTCCCAAGGCAGTACCAAGGTCTGTGAATTTTCTGTTCACAGGTAAGGATTATTTCAATGTAAAGGGATCATCACGTGTCAAATGTCTGACCAATTCCTCAGGACATTTCTCACCCTGAGCTCTTCATGCTCCTCAAAGGTACGAGTTTATGAAGTGCTGCCTCCCTGATGCACACACCAGCATGCTCGAGTTCCTCCTTTTCATTGATGCCTCTTCTACTTTTCAGATAGGTCTATCTTGTTAAAAGCCATCCTGCAGTCATAATCCTAAATTCAAACTCCGTAATTTCTAACAGACAAAACGTTCTCTGAGTCTCAGCTACCAACCCATAATGTGCACTGTCTCCTCCTTGCTGGATCTTCCAGCCATTGCCAACATGCCTTGAGTTTCACTTGATCCATTTCTCATGCAACACCATGACTCAGTGATGGAAATTTCTGGTGACAACCAACCCACCTGTATAATATTTAATATCCATCCCTTTGTTTTCCACCTGTTTTCAATGTTTACAAGTGCTAGCCACCAACCTCACAGTATTTTTATTCTGCTGTTTTCATTACAGAAACAGATGTGAGGAAGCAGTATGGAGCTCAAAAGAGGAAAGACCTTCATAAAATCCAGCGTGCAACATGAGAAAGCGCCACCAGTGCACACGGTTCCTACCAACAAAGACGACACAGGAAAAGACAAAAAGCCAGCTCTGGAGGGAACCCAGACCGTAGCTGAAGTCCAGCTGGCATGTTTGGCCACACACAAGAACTACAGATTTTCTACCAGAGCAGCAAGGAGTGGAGCTGGTGACCACAGCCTGGAAAAATCATCTGGGTCCTCCTACAAACTTGTAAGGAAAAGTAAAACCCACGACTGTGTTTCCGAGGCTGACAAAACAGAGCATTGCAGCCCCAGCAGCAGGGCTGGCGAGGAAGGTTTTTCTGGAAAGGGTAAGGGCCGGCTTGTCAATAGCGTCAGCTTTTCAGGGGTGTCCAGCTCCAGCAGCAAGAAGGAGTGTGTGGTGAGCCCCAGCCAGTCCGCATGCAGCAGTCAGATGATTGATTACAGGAACTTTGTGCCTCAGATGCCTTTTGTGCCAGCCGTCGCAAAAACCATTCCCAGGAAGAGGATTTCCCTCAAGAGATCTAAGAAAGGGCTCAGAGATATATTTCATATAAGAAAAAATAAAACTGACAGCCTCACATTCCTGGTTGAGAAAGACAAGAATCTGTCCTCTCCGGGCTGCAAGAGTGAGTTCTCTGGGCGTCTTGCAAAATATCTTTTCAAAACCGGAGACACATTTGCAGGTGATTGCTTGTCACAAGACTGCTCAGACAGTGAACTGCAGTCTGACTCTTCCTTTGACTGCTGCAACACCCTGTGCGAAGACGTCGCTTCCCTGAAGAGCTTTGACTCCCTCACTGGCTGCGGTGAAATCTTTGCTGACGAGAGCTCTGCTCACCTGGAGCTGGAGAGCAGCAAGGAAGTTCTGCTGAGACGCAGCAGGCACAAAGACAGCCCTGTCGTGGGCTCCTTCCAAGGGGGTGTGGAGCAGCTGGCCTCTCCTGGCCAGAGCGAGACCGCCGAATTTGCCAAGTTTTGGGACAACATCAACAAATCAGTGAGGCTGCATCAGAGTGCTCTCTTTGACAAGAAGTTACTGAAGATACCCAGTCCTGACGTGGAGAAGGCTAGAAGCCAGACTACAGCATCTGTGACAGACCCCCAAGTGTCACCTGATGAACATGGTGACAATTCCAAAGAGAGCTCCACAGAAACAGAAACACCAAAAAGTGACAACCAAGAATCTATATCCACGAGTGATGAAGGCTACTATGATTCGTTCTCTCCTGGACAAGACGATGAAACAAAGGCAGCTCCGACTCCTGGGGTCCCAGGTAGATTTCCAAGAGACAGCTACAGTGGAGATGCCCTTTATGAGCTATTCTATGACCCAAATGAAGTCAAAATAAACCCAGTCCTAGACGATGACTTGTGCACATCTGAAAGCATTTCGGAACAAGCCATTGAAATCCCTTTGTCCATTTACAGCTTCCGTGTTGGAGCTGAGGAGAACATGGCTTCCCAACCAGCTCTAGACGTTATCAGCCAGGGTTTTTTCCACAGCACATGGAAAGGCAAAGAATGTTTGCTAAAGCTCTGTGATACTGAGCTTTCACTAACCATGGGGATAATAAACTGGCTGCGAAAACACGCGGGACTCGTTTCCTCCCCCGACTCTCTTCAGAGTCCTCAATCCCATCCAGAAAAATCTAACGATTCATCGATCCTGCCCAGCCCCAGTCCAGAGCAGCAAGTGAGCACAGAAGCTCAGCAGGAGAAACCAAGCAAGGAAGAACCTAATACATCAAACCCACGTGTGTCTTTGGATGAAAGCAAACATGCAGTCCAGGCCTCTTCAGGAAACATTGCCGAAAGAGACCACAGACTGGACTCTTGCCCTAAAACCTCTAATTTGGACTTCCAGGGAGGGGAAGGGAAGCACCACAAGGATTCGTCTACAGTGCCTGAGACTGTCGAAACCACCAGAGCATCAAGTTATGCACCACACTCACAGGCTAATGCAGACAATCTGAAGATATCTCTAACTGAGAATGAGAAGGTGACAGTTTCAGAAGGATGTGAGACATCTGGAGATAAAAACCCACTGCCAGAAAAGCTGAACAGAGAGAGTGGCTCCCAGGGCTCTGAAAACCCTTTGTTAGATGATAATCATGATGTAGAATCATGTTATTCCTACAAGACTGCTGCGACCTCGCTGCTGGATCCCCCAGAGTGGGAGGACAGAAGGAAACCAGTGTATCACTCTCTCTCTATTTCCTGTGACAAACCACTGCAGCCTCTTACTCTCAGGCGCTTCCAGAGCTACATGAGCCCCACACCAACGGAGAGCAGCACTAACATAGTGCAGCTCTTGGAGAGCTGCGTAACACAAGTGGCATCATTAAAAATCAGCTATGAAAACAAGCACCTGGAAGACAAATGCATTGGGAATGAAATGAACAGCATCATTCATAAGATGTCTCAGTACAAAAACAAGTTATTGTTGCAAAATGAATGCAACTGCATCACCCAAAATCCAGAATACTCCAGTATTCCTAGCACAAACCAATACAACTATGAGACAAGTTTTCAGCCCAGCAGTCTGTATCACTTGAAACAAAATGGAGAGCAAATTTGCTCTGAAGATCAGAAAAGTAGAGTAAAAATCCTAGATGAGGTCACTAGAAGCAAGCTACAGTTTGAATACGCCCAGCTAAATAATCAAGCACTCTCCTATTTAAAAGACTTCACACTTGATCTCAGTCCAAGCAACTCCGCCCCTGCTGCAACTCGTAGCCGACCAACGTTTTTACCTCTCTTTAACTCTGTCTGCTCAGACATACCTGCTATTTTTCCACAAGCTTCAGACAGCAACACTGCTCCCCTCGCTGGCTCACCGCAGCTGAAGGAGGTCAAGCCCTGCAGCCCAGGATGGTGGAGCAATGCAGAGACCCTCGGCTGGGGCCTGACTGGAGGGAGCGCTCTGTCCCCTCACCCAGAGGCAGCGAGCCCGGACACAGCACTGGCAGAAAGGAACCACCAGTAACACACCTGCACTGGGAAGGTGAGTGCTTACGGGGAGTCTGAAATGAAAGGTGGAATAAGCAACACCTGTTCCCTTTTCAGAGGGATGCTTGCAGCACCAGATTCTGATATATACTCAGGGTTTTGCAGTTTTCCGGTTTCATTTCACTTCAGCATGCTAGTTAAGAGAAATCAGAATTGAAATTACACAACTGCTAAAACCAGGGGCCACATATAGCAAGTATCACACTCACAGTGTTACAAGTCCCCCACAAAAGTTGAAGTCCCCATATTCCACCCAGGTGCAACAGTTTTCACACCAGCTGAAGCAGGGAAATTGTTTGGTTCTTCCACTTCAGGATCGGCCACGTTTGGAACAACACACGGTGGATATGGCTGCCCGGCAGCATTCAGCTCAGATTCCTCCCTGCCAGGTCACTAAATTCTCTTGCTACATAATGACAGTGTAAAAATTATGGCCTGCTTCCCCTCTGGAGGGATAGCTGGGTATCAGGCAGAGCTTTCTGCTGGAGCCCTGGTGTGAGCTGAGCTGCTACACAGGGGGTCCCACGAGAAAGGCAGAGATCTGCAGTGCTAAGTCACAGGGCAGACACACGTACCCTGTCCTGCAGCTGCCGACATAGAGCTCGTCCTCA